GAGACAGTGGGAGGGCTTCTAGTGCCCTGGCCCCACTGCTGGACCTCCTGATGACACCTGGTGTTTTTGGCCACTGTGTGACAGAGTGTTGGACTGGATGGGCCCACTGGCCTGATTCAACATTGGCTTCTCTTATTTTTAAGGTATAGGTAGGAACTCTCGGTCTGGGGCAAGTGATGTTCTGTATTCTTGGTGCTTGGTGGGGGCGGCAACAGTGGGAGGGCTACTGGTGTCCTGGCCCCACTGCTGGACCTCCTGATGGACCCTGGTATTTTTGGCCACTGTGTGACAGAGTGTTGGACTAGATGGGCCATTGGCCTGATCCAACATTGGCTTCTCTAATGTTCTTATGTTAAGAGCAGAGGTCCATCAGTGGCTATTAGCCAGAAGGTATAGATAGGAACTCTCGGTCTGGGGCAAGTGATGCTCTGTATTCTTGGGTGCTTGGCGGGAGGGGGGGGCAACAGTGGGAGGGCTTCTGGAGTTCTGGCCCCACTGGTGGACCTCCTGATCGCACCTGGTGATTTTGGCCACTGTGTGACCCAGAGTGTTGGACTGGATGGGCCCGTGGCCTGATCCAGCATTGGCTTCTCTCACGTTCTCTTATGTTCCTCTGTCCGAGAAGGCAACGCTGACCTATGCTGGTCAGTGGCACAGCTTGGTTATTCCAAACTTAGCCGAGCACAGATTCATACCTCTGTGGTCTGCTCCTGGAAGGCGTACAGAATGCCATCAATAAGCTGCTCCTCCAGCTTATGGTCGATGTCGGCTGCGCCCAGATTCCCCATGATCTTCTCAATGGTCTCCATGACCATCTTCCTGTACTGCTCGGCCTCATCTTTCAGGTCGTCCACAATCCTGGAAATGATTTCTGCGGCCCCAACTTTGTTGGCCAGCTCTACGGTTGTGTCGACCAACTAAAACAGACGGGCAGAAAAACAGTATTGAGCGAACGAGAAACCCAGGCCCAAAATGGAAAAATGAACACCGCACACACCCCCGCACCCCAAAACACAAAAGAAATCTATTTACTGGGAGTGAAAGCAGAGGCTGCAGAAGTAGCAGCGGTTCCTGGCACGTAACATAATAATATTCTGAAGTGTCAGGATGAACGTTTCTTCTGTATTCTCATAACTATTTGGATAATCTGAAATAACGTTTCTGCCAGCAAGATATGAAATTGAAATGCCAAACGGCTTGACCTGGGAGGACTCTATATTCAGGGGTTCTTCGGGCAGCTCTGCTCTTCAGAGTTTGGCCTCGTGCACAAATCTCAGCCTTGCATGCAAAGCACTGGGACGGTTCCTGAACTAGGAACATCTCCCTCACAGCCACTTGAGAGTGTTACATAAACCTTACGCCGGTCCACCCCCGTTTCCTTCCAAAGCGTGATTTAGAGCTACCAGTGGAAGACTGCTGGAGGCCCAAACACTTCAGTCTAGCCCACGACCCCCACGAATCAGCTCAACGTCTCTTGTAAACTAAAAGCCAACCGTACTTGTCTGTAATTTCTTCTGTCCAGGGCCATCCTGTGCTGCCAGAAGTGCTTGAAAAAGGGAGGAAGGATCTCGGTTTTAATGTAGTTGGCTTCCACACCGTCTGTGCCACAACACTGTTTCACCACCTGAGAGGAAAGAAGACAGACAGTATGACTTTCCCGTTTCTCCAAAAGAAAGAAAGCTCTGTATTCTAGGTGCTTGGAGGGGACCACGGGGGGGGGGGCGCTCCTAGAGTTCTGGGCCCACTGGTGGACCTCCTGATGGGCCCTGGGTTTTGGCCACTGTGTGACACAGAGTGTTGGACTGGGTGGGCCATTGGCCTGATGTCTGGGGCAGTGATGCTCTGTCTTCTTGGT